TGAGTTTCTCCTCTCTTGCATTCCTTGCGATTTTTGGAAAGGCCTCCAGCCAGCCACAAAGAGCATCCTTGAAGCAGTGATTGACAGGCTGTGTTTTGGGCAGCTTTTCATCCCGCTCACAGCGCGGCGGCTGCCCCGGTGGCACTTTTTTAACAACACATGAGTGACTGCAGAGGATCAGGGCCGTGTTTATCTGTGACTTCCACTCAGGCTCTCAGCTGCTGCCGATGCTATTGATCATGAAATTCTGTTTTCGGCAGGCTGGATTCATGTAAAGGTTTATTTGGTCCACCACCAGCCTTGTTCAGACCTCGCATATCCTAATCCTGACAGATTTATCACTAGTGGTCCCTAGGTTTCTAACATCTCTCACGTTGCCAGTGCAAATTGTCTGAGGAGTCCAGCTGGGCTGCGTTTTATTAGGATTCATGTGCATCCTTCTGCACAGCCCAGTTCGTGCTCCAGGGCTGTGGTCTTGCAGGCGAGCAGCACGTGTCCCGGGTGTTTTAAGAGCCCGGCTTCTGCTGGGGGTGCTGCCAGGCCTCCTGTCTGAGAGCCTGGCTTTTGGAGACTGCTGATGGGGTGGGGTGTTGCCTTGGCTTTTGCTGTGAGTTGTAAAGCAAGAAGTGGACATTGCTAGGGTGTTTGGAGTTAGGTCAGAAATGCTGTTACGTTTATGTGGCCAGGCTCTGCAAAACCAGCCGGCTCTCCCCCGCTCTGCGACTCACGCCCTTCATGCTCTTCATATTGGAGGGTTTTTTCATTTAATCCCTTTTTCTGATGTTTGGGTTTTTTTTTTTCCCCTCTACAAGTTCTTGTGTTTTATTTCACATCATCTCAGATTTTGTTCTTCCTGTTGCATGCACATTGTACTTGGATTTCAAGTAGCTTTTCAGATTACTCCTAGGACAAATGCGCATCATGTCCACAATTTTATAGTACTAAAGGCCTAAATCACACCTGCAGAGGCTTCTCTTAGGTCCTGCTGAGTCTTTAGGGCAAATCTATGACAAACTAAATTAAAAATCCACAGCTGGAGTAGGTCTGTTAGAGGGTTGATAGGACATTGCAGTCCAAAAGGACAATCCCTTTTGTTTCTGGCTAACACGGAACAAAGTGTTTCGATTAATTTTTTTTAACCTTTTATCAAAATGTATCACACTGAGAAAAGGTTTTGTTTCTTAGGAGACCTCTGCTCTAGGATGTCGACCCCTTTCTTTTTAGTGTCACACAAGAGTTTGAGACTATGTTGACATCGAGTGTGATGTTGACATTGGTGCTTCAGAAAATCATCTAATCAGAAATGCTGACTCCTCTGTTAAATCCCTTGGAGGTTTTTCATTAATTTTTTTTTTTTTTTCACCCCATTTAAATGGGTTTGCTGCTTTCCATGACTTGGAGCTAGGATGAGAAATACTTTGTTAGATTAGGGGCGAGAAGTTGTCCATTCACAAGGTCAACATGGTGTAACCATTGATTAGATGAACACATTCTTTCTTGTCCAAACTCTATGATCTAATAAGGCAAGAAGTGAAATGTTTCATGGCCTGTTAACCATGCTGGATAATACACAGCTGGGCACAGAATTCAGAACAAAAAAAATCTTTAACTAGTTTGCTTTGAGATATTTGTTAAGAGGAACTGTGTCAGTCCCTGTAAATTTAGTCCAATAGGGTATGTCGTGTATTAAGTGATAAACCTTCTTCTGACAACGGCGAAAGTTTGCTGTTTTCTTGCTTCTATTTAATGTGTTCTAGTTCTGAAAACAGCTGATCAAGCAAGATTGTGTGACTGCTTACCTCTGAAAGAATATATTAGGATATAAACTTCACCGAATCCAAGTGTTCATGGGAATTTTTTTTTATATAGTCATGTAAAAATTAAGACAAAAAAAATCGTTGTAATTCTACATTTATTAAGGTGAACATGTGGGCCTCATCATGCGTGGAGATGAGCATCCCCAATATCTTTATTCAGCAGCACTGAATACACTGTGTGTATGCAGCAGTGGTAGAGTGCTGAAGATCCTGTGACATCAACGATTAGAGGAGAACTATTTGGTCCGGATTATTTAAGTCTATATTGCATTCCTTTTCTGCCGCTGAGCACACAGCGGTGACAGAGCTATAGCTGAGAATAAAACGTGGCCTCTGCAGTTTACAGGGAAGGATGCAACATCTCACTGCTGATCCATGTTCCTTTTTGGATTGGAGATCATAAAACTGTACCCAGGTTAAAAGCCATTCTTGTGTTCTGACACAGTTTGTAAAGCATGAGTTAAGCATTCCAAGTGAAATACTATTTATTTCTTCATCTATTGCCTTTTAAGTGAGGAAAATGCACCCCACTGAAGAGACACTTTGGGTAAATGCTTGTGGTTGAGGGGATAGTGCAGGGGCACTAAATCTTCACACTTTACAAGAAAGAGCTTGTCTATTTATTTTGTGTCATGTGTGTTCCTTGTTTGTGGGTCTGATCCTCAGCTGGGACGAGTTGTCTCGCCTCCATGGATCTGGCTCCTTTGTACGACCTGGTGCTGATCTGTGCTGTTCGTTTAAAATCTGCTTGACAGGACCAGAGGATGTGTAGGCTGGATAAGCAAAGCTGTGTTAGTGGCCTGGGAAGATATCCTGCCCTGAGGAAACAATAAAAATAAATGTTCATTACTCCTGTAGCTCATCTCGTGAAGAAGCCTGTGAAAGTCAGGAGTTATGGACCGATCCAATGCTTATGGTGACATTTATTGTAAGGTCACAGACATAAAACTGAGCAGGATAGGTGGCTTCAGGAACATTAAGTGACTCCGTTTTCTGTTCATTCATGTTTCAAAAAATAGGAAGACAGACTGCAGTGACAGCTGATGTTAGTACAGGTGCAGTTAATGCTTTTTTTTCTGCTGTTGTGTAACGCGGGTAGCAGGTATTCCCCAGACAGGCAGGCAGAAGCACATGATGGATATGATACTATCTCTGCAGCCCAGTAGCTCATTTGCTAGACTTGGGGAAAGAACTACAAATCAGTCCCATGCATCTTTACCTAAATTAATACCGAAAGTTGGTTCTGCTGGATTCGCTGTGTTTTCAGCGCGATTTCCCAGCGAACATCCAAAGGGATGATGTGTGCGTGTGCGTGTGTGCGACGAGCACAACTCCAACTCCCACTCACTAGTTCCTTTCTCTGATGATTGTACACGGGAAGGAACATCCCTCGATACAGCTGTGCTAAGGATTCCTTGTACTCAGTGAGGGAGGCTGGGAAATCACTGGAGAAAAGGATTGTACTGTACCTTTTAAAAGACCGAGAGGAAATTATAGTTTGGGGAGTAATTTTGAACTTCATTCAGTGGAAAGTCACCTTTCTTGAGGGTTTGGAGGGGAGGAGCTGGAGAGGGACGCTGGGGCTGGATTTTCGTGTAATTATGTGGACTCATTGCTGAAAAGTGAATATATTCAGTACCTTCTTTTCTCTGACATTGGAGCTCCGTGGATTATTATTTCTCTACTTCAATAAGTGGTTTTGTTAAGTGCTGCCTCACTGATGCTGAGTTTATAATCAAAATGAGAATCTCTGGGACTGGGTCTACTGGGGAAGGAGCAGCAGGGAAGAAGCAGATGTTATGCTGGGGAGAGGCTGAGTTAAGATGGGACATCCTGCACTCTGGCATCCTGGAAATACCTGTTGGAAAGGCATTGTGCAACCCTCAATATTTTTCACCTGTTATTAGTCCTCTCCTGATAGTTTTCCTGAGAAAGAATGACTGGGCCAATTTATGTGGTGTGCATCAGGACTTAGAACAGAAGCAAGCTTAAACCAGGATTTGCAGCAAGAGGACAGAAGTTCTCCTAAGCCATTATGTCACTTACTTTTCAAAAGCTGCTTTGGGTTTGAATCTTGCATTTACAACTTGCCCTCTTCTATGAACTCCAGGAGCTGAGCTCTTCCGTGGGGGGAACCTCTTGACACATGCCCATCACCTGGTGTGCTGAAATGCCCTCTGGTTCAATGCTTCACTGTTTCATTTCTCTCATATTTTGAAATGTTCTCTTCTAGGGGAAGAAAAAAAAAAAAAAAAAAAAGACTTTGGACTGGTCCTGAATAGTAATTCTTCAGTCAAATATAACATCACAAATGAGGCTGGACAGCTGTTTCCCAAATACAGTTTATGTATATATTCTATACACGTAATAAGGCTTAGTTTTCACTATTTGAAAAAGTTCTGCAGTCTCCCTGCCCCCTCCTGCAGTCAATGGCAAATGTTGTTCTCAAAACTCCACTTGTCACATTTTGTTCTCGAGAACAGGGAGGATATTGAGATACACTGGCTTCTTTCCTTGAGTGCATTTCAATATGTATTTTGTATAATGAGAGCCCAAATCCTTCTCACATTACTTATGCTTTAATCACGCTGTGCTCTCCCAAGATTGCGTTAATCGCATTTGCATCAGCAGGAGTAACTCTGGATGATGAGCAATATTTCATCTGCAGAGAGGAGACAGATCTCGGGCGCATGATGAGGAAGGAACTGGCTGTCCTGGATTTGTTACAGCGCAGCTCTCTAGTGAAGAATGGTGTCGCATCCTGATTTGAGAAATAGATATTCAAGAATTAGAATGAACAAAAGCTATTTTTTACAGTTTTCTTGAGGACCTGTCAAGTGTGATAGTTCCCTTTTAATTTTCTAGTAAATGGCTTTTTGGCATGTGTTTACTCCCAAGAAGCGCGGTGCTGCCTGGCACAGCAGACATCATTTTGTATGTTCGCCATGACATTACCGTGTACGAGGACTGAAAAGTTATATAGATATTACACCAATATATAAACCATGTGTGTTAGAAAGACAAGTTCAGTTTTGAAATATTTGACTTAGCTATGCTTTTCACTTTCAATTCGTGCCAAACATGTGCTTGAATGACTGATGGAGTCATATGGTTCCCTGAATAAAGCACTTTATTGTGCGCAGACTTAGAGCCTTCCAACAGTTGTATTACAGAAGCTTGAAGATTAAGATGATCCAACTGCTTAGGGGGTATGTTCCACAATGAGCATTTTTTTTTTTTTTTCCCCCCTCTCTCTCTATTTTTCGCCTTAAAATGTGTCATTAGTTTGTTCAGCTGGTCGTGCACTGACACCGACCGCAGAGCCTTTAGTGGAGAAGAACAGCGAGTTACCTTCAAATTTCAGCTTCCACTCCTATGTCCATATTAAAACGTTGAACATGTGACTTTTTCCGTGGAGTTTATAGGATTTTGTGGGGGAGGGGCGGGAGGGCTGTTTCCTGTCGCAGATTATTTCATCAGCAGAATTAGATTTAGGAAAGGAATAACTCATGCAAGAGCAAGTGGTGACAGGAGGTAGTTCTTAGAGTTCTAAAACTGAAATATTAAAAAGCATGTTTTTAATGCTGTTTAGTTAAAGGGGATCGGTGCGTCTCCAACTCGTGTTTCTCATCTGAGCGCTCGGTGCCGGTGAAGCTGCTCAGTGTGAAAGATCAAGTGGACACGGCTGCAAAGTCACACAGAGATCAGCTCAGAGTTGACAGACCTGTCAAGCCGGAGAGGCGATCTTTCTCCATTAGAAACCCAAAGAACAGAAAATTAAATTCAGGACTGCGTGGAGTCGTCGTGCCACTGCCTGTCCTCAGGCTCATCAAAGACCTTTGCTGACTTACGATGTTTTCAGATATTTATACATGAGTAGTAATTTTGCAATGTGAAGGAAGAGACAAGATTGAAGCCCAAGAAGATCTGCGGAATTAGTTGTTTTCCAAAAGTTACTTGTGCTTAAATGCCTGAGGTCTTAGGTTTGGGAATGGGGGGAGGAGTGAGAAAACAAGTAAAACTTTGTCTTTAGTTAGGTGGCTTGCCTTTTTTTTTTTTTTTTAATAATTATTTTCCAGGCATGCCATGAAAAGACTAATTTTACTAGATTTTGTACAGAGAATCAATGTATTATATGGGCAAAGGTTAGTTGGAAAAATAATTTAAGATTTTGAACTAATAAGAACTTTACTGCAAGAGATAAGATTTTTATTTTATGCACAGTCAAATCTTGCCCAGACTTTTGTGCTTGCATACAGATGAGGGCAGAGTCTGGCATGTTATGTGCTGTCTTCTTTATAAAGCTCTGTAAGTGCTGTTAGTGGGATAATGAGAAGTACCTTATCAGTGGTGGTGGAGCTTCTGATTTTTGTCCTTTCTTTTGAGAGGGTGTCTGTGTTTTTATCTGGTGGTTAGCGTAAAATTTAAGATGGATGGACTTAAGGCCAACTATTGCTTATTTGACCCTCTGCAAGTTAGTGGTTTTTTTTTTTTTTTTTTCTTTAACTATTATGCACTGGAAATTTTGTACCGGTTTATTTTGCAGCATTTTCTTTTTTTTTTTTTAATCAGATATTATTATAATTTGCATTTTTGTTATATTAATAAGTGACAATTTCTTCTTTTTCCTGCCTCAAACAGAATGGGTACCATTCTAGAAGATGGTTTCAGCAAGATACTGTGCCTGGATAATGTTTAACTTGGGTAATGTTTTGGATTTTGCTGGAAGGTAAAATAGAGGACTGGGAGCACACGTCCCCACTCCTTGGCCAGATAGTTGAATAGTTGATACTTTTTTTTTTTTTTTTTTTTTTGCTTGGTGGGTAGTCTCTACTCCTTACGTAGTTTCACTCCCTTCCTGATTTCCTAAGTTCACCCCCATCTTGAAGGGCTAATTCTCAGTCCTCCTCAGTTTGGAAACCTGGTAATTTTATTTTTAAAAATTTGATTTTGAGTCTGGAGGTGATAAAAGAGTTGTCCCAAATAAGACGTGAGAGAAAAGCAACCAGTGGGAGGGACAAAGCTCTTTCCCATGTGCTGGGGCTCCGCGCAGGCAGTGGTGGCCCTGTTGGGACTCCTGCCCAGCTCGCTGGGGCTGGTGGCACAGAGCAGACCCGAGGTAGCCTGGGCTATAGGGGAAGCCGTCTGGCAGCAGAGCCTGCGGGGATGCCTCGGTTCCCTGCCCCAAAACTCACTGCCAGTGGTCCACCGAGTGCTGGATGCAGCCTTGTCCACAGCCCATCCTCCGTAGCAAGAAACGACCCCTCCAAATCATGGAACCCACTGACTGCACTAAGCTGAGGAAGCTGGAGAAAACAAGGAGGGAAATGGGTAAAGTATGCCCTTTCTGTCTTCCACGGTGTTGCCAAAGCCCTGCGATACAGAGCAGTGCCGTTAGCTGTTTTCAGTTTGCAGAAAGATTACTCTGTTCTATTATTCTTTTCTATCCTAAGATTATTCTGGTGCATTGGTGTTTTGTGGCAGAGGAAAAAGTAGATAGGCTCTGATTTACAATGCTGAGCCCAGCTGTAATATGAAAGGTAACACAAGGATAATATGATTTAATTTAATTTTTTTTTTTTTTTTTTTTTTTTTTTTTTTTTTTTTTTAATCTCCCCGTGTCCATTACTTTCATAACTGGGCAGTAACTGCAGTGGGTGACAGAAAGAGTGTCTGGGTGCAGTGTGATGGGGAGGGGGCTGGAGTTGGGCTGGAGATGGGCATCCCACAGCATCGCTGGGGCTGTCAGCCCTGGGCTGGGTTTTAGCAGGATGCTGGGGCTGTCAGCCCTGGGCTGGGCTTTAGTGGGATTGCTGGGGCTGTCAGCCCTGGGCTGGGCTTCAGCGGGATGCTGGGGCTATTAGAGCTCTTGGGTGCCTGAGGACCCTGATGGAATCATGTTAACGTGTGTGGGACAAGACGTGGGGATGGGACTCCCAGGACATGAACATCCACTGCAGGAAGGAAACACTGTGTCATACGTAGGGTTTATTATAAATCTGTATATTAATAGACGGAAGGGATTTATAGACTGCCCCAGGTCTGACTCCTCTCTCCTGTGCTGTGCCAGGGGAGCAGGGAGCAAAACCAGCACTAGAAGGATGGCAGGGGTGTGCCGCTGGAGAAATATTTTCTTTTTCTCGTTCCACTTCAGCCCATTTTATCCAGACCCACTCGCTATTGAGAGCATTCACCTTTTTGTTTATCATAAGGACAAATAAATTGCACTGCCCTACTAAAAGCTTATTAATTTTAAGTAAATGCAAATTTGAAGTGTGTCTGCACTTCTTCAGGAGGCAGAGGCCATTAAACAAAGATGTCACATTGCATGCTTGGAGTTTATTTTGCACAGAGCTTGGAGGAACTGAAATACAGAGCAAAAAGATGAAAACTATTCTTAACTTCTTTGCCAACAAGTCCTCGTATGATACCGTGCAAAGAAGAAAAGTTGTAGAAGTACGTGGCAGATGAAAAATATTTAAGCCACACAAAAGTCACTGACAGATAACATCTAGTCATCTCACTATTTGTACAAAGTATCTTTTATATTACTGAAAAAAAAAAAAAAAAAAGAATAAAAGGCACTACATCAGCTTGTGGGCTGCTTGTGGATCAAAAGCATTACCTTCAGTGCAGGCTGAAAATAGAAAACAGACACAACTGTGAAGTTTTTCATGTGAAAAAGTGGGAGACAAGCTTGCGTCAGGAGGAACTGGACAGAATTTCACTGAAATGGAAAATAAGTAGGTGAGTAAGTAGGTGCATGTGACACAAAAGATAGGAAACCTGGGTCTAATAAAAGTTTCTGGTAGTACAGATGGCCTGATTTTCTTCCCCTCTCATGACACGTTACCGAAATTTAAATTCTCTGATTTCAATTATTACACTATTTATATTGCTGTAATACCAAGAGTCCCCATAGAGAAGAGGCCTCGTTATTAATGTAATGCAAACAACTCTAATGGTTCCAGCTTCAAAGAAATCATAATGAAAATGGGTAAAGGAGATGAAGAGTGGCAGAGAGGAAATACCAGCACGTCTGCGCACATGAAGAACTGCAGCCCTGGGAGCTCACGGGATGTGATCAAGGTGATGGAAACCCTTCGTTAATGCAGATGTCCAGTCCGGTCCCATTGCACTCCTCTCCTGGTGCCCCTCGGATACTCTCTGGGAGGGCCGGGCTTACCCTCAGAGATGGGTGGCCCGAAACCAGCCGGAGAAAACTGGGAGCGTCTTTTGTTCAGCCGTTGTGCAAGAGACTGAGTGAAGTAACCCCACTGGGATAAATTCTGTGGTGTTCCCAGCTTTGCCTGAGGTGAGGGCCGTGCATGCCAAAGGCTCTCCGAGGTTGCCAGCAGCCATCCCACCTTTGTACCTACCCAGGAGCCCACGCCACCGCTCAGGCTCGGGCTGCTCTGCGGCTGCACATCTCTTTGTCCCATTTTTTTCAGTGTTTCCTTCATGCTTCAGTTTTTCTGTCTATGTTTTTTGGTCCTGACTCTCTTCTAATGGTTTTTTGTTTGTTTTTTTTGTTTGTTTGGGGTTATTTTTGTTTTTTGTTTTTTTTTATGTTTGGTTTATTTTCTCCTCAAGTAGGAAAATCTCTTCTGTCCATGTCCTGTTGTTCAGTCAGGCTCAGTGGCCCTTCAGGTGCTGTCACCTTTCCCATCTCAGAGGGGTATGTGTGGGTCGCTCTTCGTTGGCTGTGATCCCTTACTTTCTGCAGCATGTTCTTTGAAACTTTGCAATCAGGTTTCAGAATCCTATTGAAAGGATTTACCTTTTTATCTTTCCCTTACTTTTATATTTAAAGACCAATCTAGAGTTTACCTATCAGTCATACAGGTTATTTTGTAGTCTTTCAGAAATACACATAGTATGTAAACATAATGACCTTTAATCAGGAAAACATGGTTATTTGATTTACGAAAGAAACTATAATGTGCACTGAGGACAGTTGGGAGTTAAGCAAGTGCATAATGTCAAGCATGTGCCCAAGTGCTCTTAGATTGAGGCCCCGTGACTGGCCTGCAGTGCTTTCTACGCCTTTTGCAGGAAGCTGTGATTTTTGTCACACCCAATAATTTAAATAAAAACATTCAGATAAGCAGCAAAATATTTGGCTGAAGGAAAGCAACTAGACAGAAAATGGTCTTGTGTTTTATAAATGCTATGGCTTCAGAAGAGTTTGCAAACCCTGAAGCTTCCCTGTTTTGTTTCTCCCAAATAAATTGTCTTTTCCAATAAAGATATAACTGCTGCCTATAAACCTGTCTTGATGTCTGTCTCCAGACTATCAACACTTCTGCACAATATGCATTTTCAGTGTGCAGATAAATAAGCACGTGTATAAGATTAAATCTGCTCATTGTAACCATACTTTGTTGTGCACCACAAGCATCACTCTTGTGATGAAATAGAAGTGGCAAAATTGAACCACACTTCATGTAGATATTTTTTTCTTTTTTCCCGTGATGTTTTTATAGCAGTTGCACTTTCTGGACCATGCCATGTAATGAGGGAGTAACACATCTGTGTACAAATGCTGATCCCTCCCCGTCCCCTTTTTCTTCTGTTTTGGGTAATCTTGTGATGTTAATGCCTTGCAGAATTAACGAGAAAGGCAACTTTCAAATCCATGGATACCAGAAAGACTGTGATGCTTCCTGATATCTAGCTGCAGCTCCATGGTGTAAGACTGTGTGGAAGTGATGTAGACAATGCATCTGTGGGAGCAAAACTATGCTCATAGGGTTTCTTAAAATTTAGATCTCATGAAACTTTCAGAACGCAAATCCTACAAAATAAAAGGGCCTGAGTCACTTAATTCATAGAGTTGAGACTGTTCTAGTGAGCCAAGAAAAAAAAAAAATGGGGCTAGAGCCAAACTTTTCTCATTTCTCTGAGATACGCTTCATAAATTTCTGTTCTGTGCGGGGAGCTTCATGCCTGATAATCAGAACAAAGAGCTGTGAGGGTCTGTCCAGACCCTCCGAGGCAGATGAGACGGTATCTCACCTGCCTCTGCAGGGGTGAACCCAGTCGTGTGCAGGGTTTGGAGCATCCCTTCTAGACTCAGCCCTGTCACATGGGTTTGGGCTGCGCTGAGGGTGCTGTGAGAACCTTTTCTCTACAGCAACACCTTTATAACAAGAAACTTTCCTCCTCCCCAATATACTTTATCTTGGTCTTTTCTGGTGTTTCAGGGAAAGTGTCATATTTTTAAAAGCGTGATGGAAAACACTGAACTTCTCTTCCTCTCACGTCGGCCTAACCATAATGACTGCATAGATGTTTTTAAGCTAATTCTAACAGTGACTAAACTGGGGTCATTCTGCTCAAAACATAACTCTTGATCCTCAGAGAATGCTGTGTGACCAAAGAGGGTGGGTCAGGTTGCTGGGATGGCAGTCCAAGCACTGGGCTGTGGGGGCAGGTCTGACCCTGCAGCTCTCCTCTCTCTCCCACACACAGCTCAGCCCTGAGCCAGGGTTTAGCTGCTGGAACGCTGCCCCATCACCTTCCCTCTGCACCTCCTAGCACAGAGGCAACGGGGGGAAGGAGGAAGAAAGGTGACGTTGGCCTTTCTCCATCTCAGTGGAGGATGGACACATCTCTAGAGCACCTGGGAAGACTCAGGTCTTATCCTCGTGGGGTACAAGTGCACCAGGGGGCTCAGTGTGATGGTAGGTCAAGAGTGTGGCAAACTCTGCCGGTGTTTTGACTGTCCCACAGCACCTGGAACCATCTCTACCTTCTCTTTAAGATTTATTCTCAGTACCATTTCCAGCTCTTGTACTATGATACCATTTTTTAGGACTCTGCTTTCGCAGGCACAATACCATTACTATGTTTACTGAGAAGAAAAATACTTGATAAATGTTGCATGCAAATAGCTTTTTGACATTGTAGTATGAATTGAAGTCATCTGACTGTGTAGGAGTAGAGCATTACTTCAATGACAATTTCTATTCTCTTCCAGATATTTTTTTTTTTTTCCCCCACTAATAAGAATGTGCCTCCTTGATGTTACGGGGTTCCCAGAACTTCGTGACCTCCTTGCATGTCCATATAGAAATGCTGAGGCTGCTCTGTTCAGTCTTTTGTTGTACACAGTTCGGATTAGTTAAAATGGAGTACAGACTAGTTAAAATGGAGTACAACCGTACATTGGAGCTTGCAGAGGAACCCCAGACCGTGTGGTTACATCTGTGCTGTGACTCGAACTGGCAAAGCGTGAGGACTAGCGGAACCCCTCACAGAAATGGGAAGGACATAAGGGACAATCTGGAGTCACTGTCTGCCCTTAGGGAGCCTGTGTTATGCAACCGCAGCGTGTGTTCACCTCAGGGAGGGTGAGGCCCCAGTTACACCCCCTGGGGCACTGTCCCCCCTCCTACCACGACTTCTACTTTGAATCTGATCCAGTGTGGCCGCATCTGGGAAGCGCAATGGGAGAACAGGGATTGGGGCTAATTTCTTACCTTAATTACAGGAAAATACTCCTGATAAAATCTTGCCTCTTTTAAATCCCTGCAGCTTTCTTACCCTCTTAATGATGACGCTGAAAAGACATTGATCTACTGTATTCCCCCCCTGCTATCACCTTCAATGGAGAAAAAAATCTAAAACTCTAGTTATGACAATTACAATGACATGTCATGATAGGACAAGGGGTCACAGTTTTAAACTGACAGAGGGGAGATTTAGATGAGATGTAAGGAAGAAATTGTTCCCTGTGAGGGGGGTGAGGCCCTGGCACAGGCTGCCCAGAGAAGCTGTGGCTGCCCCCTCCCTGGAAGGGTTCAAGGCCGGGTTGGACGGGGCTTTGGGCAACCTGGGCTGGTGGAAGGTGGTCCTGCCCATGGCAGGGGGGTGGGACTGGATGGGCTTTGAGGTCCCTTCCAACTCAAACTGTTCTATGATTCTATGGTTAATGTAATACTTTAAATAATGGTGCCAAAATCTCTTCAAATATTTCATTTAAGTCTTGCATACCAACTCCTTATCTGTGCATCCTGGTATCTCTACTCCTGATGTGTAGTCTTTGTCTTCTACTGCTGCAGAAGTGCACCATCTGATCAACCTTGACACTTCTCTCCCAGAACCCCCAGCTACCTTCAAAATTTGTGTAGGTTTTGACACCGACAGTATGACCTCATAATGTTTTAATATTTAATCCTTTTCCTGAATTACTTCCTTTTCAAATATACTGCCAGGTCCCTTAAATAACAAGTTTCATGTTGTCAGACGCTGTTTCCGACTAACATGAAGTGCTTCTCCCTGTCCCTAGGTGAGAATGTGGACAGCAAGTTGGAGTCCTCGACACAGCAGATGCCAAAGGACCAGTCAAAAGATTATGAGATAACAATTCCCTTCCTTTTGAATGGAGACCAGTGGAGACCAGTAAATGGCATTTATTCAAAGGTTAGTCTTCATTTTGCCAACTATTTTATTCCAAGGTGTATAACAATTGGAAGGCTTTAGGGGAAAGTAAATGCACTTACTCCATCATATCTGTTATACTAGTATTTTTTATATTTCTGTAGACCGCTGACTAAAAGTGTTCCTTACCTAATTTAAGAAAATGGATAATGACTTTGGCTGAAATTAATGCGTTTTTACTGTAAAGTGGCATTCTTTTTTTTTTTTTTTCTGATAGGAGAAATGGAAGCTTAAAGTTAAATCATTTCTTTAACAAGGTTAACGTACATTGCTTGAGGTTGGATCATACAACAGCAGAACAGCCCCAAAAACCGAGGGAGGGGCAAATACAACAAACACGTTTGTTTGAGGAAATACAGTCTGACAGCAAGAACTTGAAGGAAAAGGGTAAATAATGTTGCCTTGTTGTCTGCAGCCTGAGGCGCTACCTGGAGCCTGTCATGGGAGATGGGCCCCAAATGCCATCCCACGTACTGCAAAGGGAATCGGGGGCGAGTCTCCCTTCACAGGCTGCTTTCCCTTTGCCTAACAAGGGCATAATCTGTCACTGGCTCTGACTAAGCAGGAATTGTTTCCCCCTCTTGACAGGTCCTGATAAGCCTTCCTCCTTTTTATCCCTCAGACGTTGGCAGATAATATGGGTAGCTGTTTTTAGGGGAAAAGGGCTGTTTTCTGTCTCCTTGGTCTCCAGCTTGTATGAAGGCGGGTGGTTGTTGTTTATTATCACTGAAGATGTCATGGGAATCTCTCGCTCAACCTTTTAAACTCAGATCCAGTATTGTTCCAGGTTACTTTTTATATTGTACTTTTAACTGTCAGAATGAGGAGAAAAAAGTTAACTTTTTTCTTTTTTTTTCTTTTTTTTTACCTATTTAAAAGAAAAAAAAACCCACAAGTAAAACCCATCACACACAAACAATGCGAACAGCCCATTAGGAACAGCTTTCTTTACTACACTGGGAAAGTGTTTCAGGGAGAAATCCTGTTTGACTACTGCCACCGTTTGCGGGACACAGTGTTTTGGATCATGCTGCTGACTGACAGAACTAGGTGTGAAAGGAGATTTCAAAACAAGGGATCTGACTTTCGAAAAAATCTTGTCTGGATTAAAATTTTGTTTACTTTTTCTTGTTCCCTTCCTAAATGGGAAAGAAAGGCCAGTCCTGGTTTTGAATATCTGCAGTGATGAAAGGGATATCGTTGTGGGTGTATAATGGCTTATCTTAGAGAGATAACACAGATGGCTTGGTCCTAGATGTATGTGCAACTCTATTTTTAGATCATTTAATTGGAAACAGGCATTCTCCATATAGAGTCCTTTTAGCTACTCACTGTAGCTTTCTGAAAGAGTTACAGCAGAGTATCTTTATGTGAGTAATGATAATGTGATTTATATCATTAATTTGTTTCCCAGAATTGCTTTCAGTTTAAGATGAACATTAGAAAAGATTTGTGGTTTGGTAGAAAGATCCTCGTGCTGTATCAGCACTTTTTTTTTTTCTTTGAATACTTCTTTTCCATGGAAACTGTTATAAATTAAATACACAAAAGTGCAGAACAGGCTGTGGGAAGAACAACAGCATTAAACTGGTAGAGGAGTAATGAATAGCTTGTCACATAAATATTGATCAAAAGCTCGAAAGTTAAATACTGTTGTATTTGACTGTTAAATAGGACCTATTGTTCTTCAACGCATTTCAAAGTGTTCCTCCCTTTTATTTTCATTTTATACGAAGTAAAAAAAAAGTATGAAGTACTGTGTACTGGTAACCAGGGGAATGGCGTTGCAACAGAATATATAGTAAAATAAATAATGCGGTGGTTATAAAAATGCCAAAGTATTAAAGTTATTTGTGTATAGATAATTGCCTCACAATGATAGTCCCATTCTCCAATCCTTTGATCATAAATACTCCTTGCTTAACAATTAGTCCCCGAGAAACCACACTAGTCATTTAGTGCAGCATACTCTTTCTTTCCCATCTTGCAGATAAAACTGTCCTTTTATTTACCCCAGGAGTCACTACAATATCTGTTGGAGTATCTCATTCAGAATCTGTCAGGAATTATTATTAAGCTAATGACTTTCTCGTTGAGGGCTGTCTGTGCCACTGTGCGTCTGTACACTGTGCAGAGCAGAAGGAGAAAAGCTGAAATCAGTCACACTGTTTAATCACACAAACACACAAAAAAAAAAAAAAAAAAAAAAAAAGAAGTTACGTGGCTGTAACCCGGTTTTACTTTGATACAGCTAGGGTGTACTTTTTCAAGGACATCTAATGATTCCTAAGAATGACAGTTCAGATTAATGGTGGGAAAGATCCAATTGTAAAACCAGGCATGTCATCAAATGATATTTAAAGAATTTTGGTTTCCCTAAGTATCAATTTCATGTTTTGTTTCTGGAGAGAACCTATCATTTACTGGGCGGACGGATTTTCTCCTTGCCCTTGCCACCCTAAGTCAAAGCTATGAGGGACCAAGACCAGGATCTCATTGTGGTTAGTAGCATTTCAGAAATGCTGTTGCTTCTTTCTTGTTTTAAAAAGATGCACACGCTCGTGCAAACACTTTATATAGGGAAGCACGGTTAAAAAATAAAATATGTATGATTAAGAGAAGTTACTATGGAAATGCATGTATGTTTTTGCAACTGTACGATGCCGTTCATCCAGTTAGTGGTTGTTAACATCTCTCCTGGCATCGCTTGCTGAATTCAGAAAATTTAGATCCTTTTCAGTTGGAATATTTTAGTGGTGCCCGGTTACATTCTTTTATTAACTGGGTATAATATTCTGTTGCTAATCCTGAACGTGCCGCTAAAATTAGCGGCTACTATTTTGAGTACCCGGTTGTTGCTAGTCAGGACTACTGATGAGTAACTGTATTTGTGGGCATGTGACAGCAAAATCAGGGCCCTGAAATGTTGTGCAACGTTGCTCTGTGCTTTCAAACAATAGCGGCCCATATTCACTGCAGATGTGATTTCCGTCTTCGCTGAAATTCTGTGCGCATTATAGAATGTGTTGAGAGGTCATTATACGTTATAGCTCCAGTTCTCCTTCCACTTCTCCTTTTCATTTCTTCATCACTTTGCATTTGGTGACGATTTTTTAATTTTTTTTTTTTTTTTTTTTTTCCCCCCAGTGCTTGGTTTAAACCCAGGAGGGTTAGGTTCTATTTTTCTTAAATTTTTCTAAGGTTTGAACAAAATTGTTTCATTTTTCTATTATTCAAGTGCAGGAAAATGACTCTTTTCCCTTCATGTTTCCAGCTGAATATTTTTCTTCAAACTTGGCTTGAGACTTACAAATCAAGCCAAGTTTGATGAGAGTTGGGTAAGTGATGTTTTAGTACACAGAACACTTTAGGGAAGATTTTTAGAAGACCATCTGTTTGGCTTCGGCATTTATCCTCACACCCTGTTAGGGACACACACTGGTTAATGTGTGCCAGATCCCTGCATCACAGGAGCTGTAGGTCAGGTAATATTGGTTGTGTTAGACTGGAGCCTGAAGCACGTGCCTTCTCTTGGAGAGACAAGCGCTAGGCAGGAAGCTTTTCACATGGGCATTAAGGTTTTCTTGGCTCCATTTCTGTGCTTAAAAGGTTGTAACTGTGGGGGAACGCTGCCTGCCAGAGACCATCCAGGGCAGACGTGAAATGGTGTAAAGCTGGTGGGGGATCCCAGTGTGGCATCGCCCTGAGCTGACATTCATTCTCCCGGAGTGACACATTCATTAATGAAGTTGGCTTTGTATCCAAGGTTTAGTCCAGATATTAAAATGCATTAAGTTTCTGGGAAATTGAAAGCATTTTGTGCATATATGATAGGCTCAATTATGCAAGTACACATAGAGTCCTCAGGTTGTGGCACCTGTCACTCAGGTGTGGGGTTCTTCTCCAGCCTTGACTCTGCAGGATCTATAACGCCATTGCTGGCACCTGCAAGGACTCAAATATCATCATGAGACCAGTCCAGTGCTTCGAAAGATTTAATCCTCTAAAGTTTCTAAAAGCATATGAGCAAGTTAGGTGCAGCTCTTCTTACTGGGTGATGCTTTGCATCTTTTAGTGCCTATGCACAAACTTTTGTAACTCTGATCTCTGTATCTGTCTGAATGTGCTATCAAACTGCTCCAGACACGGGGGTATGCCCCAGTCAGGCCATGATTACCATTCAGAAAACCAAATTTGAGTGTAGCTGAGCCTGGGCAGTTACTGAAAGACTTGTGGCCAGGCAGCATAGAGCTGAACATAGTTTCTGAAGAGCCACATGAGAAGCTGGGAAGCCCTGAAATCCTGCAATGCTTTAGGCTGCTTTGGGTTTCTAAGTTGCATGTCCTGGTTGCTTTCAAATGCTGCAGAGAATTTGGTTTTTAACACTAAATTTGGGTGATGTATAGAGGACAATGAGGAAATTTTGGCGTGTAACTTCTTAAAAATAATTTACTATGAGAAAGTAGATACACACAATATACCTGTCAATGGATTAGACTCTTAACCCACTTGAATCAGAGTGAGTCTCACCTAAGTCAAAGTACTGCCACTGCCTTCAATATATAAAAATATACATGTTGGAACAGCAACCTCTCCCCCAGCTTGCAGAGAGTCAGACCTCTCGTTCGGTGGCAGATGCTGGATGTCTTTCCTCACACCAGGAGATTCAGATCTGTTGCTGTTGGGATTAGAGGCAAGTGAAGGAAAAGAAAGATGCCCGTAGTGGGCAGAGAGGCCGGGAAGACCTGCGGAGGGTTCCCTGATTCAGAACAGCTATGACTCCAGCCTTGATGACTTTTAAGTCCAAATAAATCAGAAATTCGTTATCCCTTGGGGGAAGGGTGGATGGATTCAGAGAACATTAAAACTCCTTCACCATGCTTAAGCTTTCAAGGCCAGATTCTGTGCTGGTGTGAATCAGCTTCCTTCCTTTGGCTGAGCTGGTATAAATCAGGTTTGCAAATTGAAATCTTAAAGAAGTG